AAAAAGCTCAAATTGTGTTGCTGGGTAAGGTGATAAGTTTATTCATCCTAAAACATACAGAGTCCAAATCTTCTTCCGAGGTTGGGCATTGTGGCACACCTGAAATCCTAGCACTTGGGAAGTTGAGGCAAGGAGGATCAATGTGAATCCAAGGCCTATCTGGACTATGTAGTGAGCATTGAGTGCTCAAGATTTCCACAAAGTTCTTATGGTATCTGTCTTTCAACAGCTTAATGAATGAAGTGGTTCATACTTCTCCAACCATAGGAAGCAATGTTGAAGAAATAGTTGTGAAGAACACTCATTTTCTTATGTGGGATATCGGGGGTCAAGAATCCCTGCGGTCGTCCTGGAACACTTACTACTCAAACACGGAGGTATGCTCTGATGACTTCTGACTTTCAGGAAGAAGATGGGGGGCTTTTATTAGTTCAGCACTTACTTTTGCCTGGGCCATGTAAGTTCATTCTTGGAGTAATACTCTAATATCTCTAATACAGTGTTGGAGAGATCTGACACTAGAAGAAATTACATAGCTGTTCCCAAGATCTCATAACTTTATAAGAATGCCTGGTTAGGGGAAGAATAAAATATTTAGGTGTAATACAAGCTTTCCAAATAACCCACATTCAGAATTATCATTTCTCTTTTAATGGAAGTAAAATTGCAGACCGTCCCCAGAGTTCTCTGTCACTTGTTTATTAGTTCAGACCCAACCTGAGGAACAAATATAAGCTATTGTCTATTTTTGTTTTTACTTTTTGAGAGAGGATGGATCTTTTTAAGACCATGCAATGTTGAGAGTTTTATCTTGGAGAATACTAGTATACACTGGTATATAATTGAGAATACTAGCATTTTTTTTCATTGCAAAGAGGTACACCTAACCAGTTACCTGTATGTATTTTTTCTAAAATGAAACCTTTTTAAAAATGTTGCTGAGGATATAAAGCAAAGAACTTTGGGGCACAAAGTTGCCTTCTTAAACTCAAAACATGTTCTCCTGGATTTATGTTGTAATATCATATGTGCGTGTATATATTCTAAGGCTGTGCATGAATAGTAAAGCAAGATGGCATATGGCAGATATTCAGCACTTGCAGTAGCACTTAATTTCACTTGAGTAGGAGGGTGAGGACAGGCAGAATAGACTGATAAGCAAATACTGTGGTTATAGGTTACTCACCATGCATTTGTATAGTAAAGTGACATTCTGAAGCTAGGTAGAATAGGGGAAGAAAAACACCCTACCTACCATATGACTTGTTTAAACAGCACAGGTACTTTTTTCAAAGTTCATAGTTAATTCCAGCTTTGAAAACAGCAGGTTTCTTTGATGAATAGATGAAAGTCGATTCTGGATGGTACACAGACACAGGCACTGCACTTGAAGCATTTCAAAGGGTAGTTTTTAAAATTGCCGAAACTCTAGAAGACTTAGGACTGATGTTATTTGCATGGATTGTTCTTTAAATAAACTATTTCCACAAGAATATCAAAATTACTACAAAGAATGGTTCTGGTGCCTGCCTCGCATGTGCAAGGTCCCAAGTTTGATCCCCGGTACCAAAAAAACAATTACTGCAAAGAAGAAGGGCTTTTCTGCAGAACACCAGCATGGTATATATAGCATTTGCAGTCTCAGGTTCCAGGTCGGAAATTACTTTGTATGGTGTCGCACTCATCACTTTCTTCACGCTTGTCATTTTCTTCTTCTCACTCTTGTCATCTTGCTTTTTGAGGACTCTCCATGGAGGTGATGTCCAGTAGCTACAGTGTGTCTGTCCATTATGAACAGGAAGCTGCAGGTGATGGTTCGAGACACGGTCCTCTCCTTTAACTCAGTTACTTCTCAGTATTCTCTCTGTCCTTTCATTACGATGGGTTTTTTTTTTTCTTTTATCTTTAAGCCCTCCTTAATTTATATTAAGTTTACTTTAGTTGATGCTCCCTAATTTTAGGGTCATTTCTATAACTTGATTCTATTTTTCCTGTCTTATCACTCTCCTGTATATGGCATTAGGACTATTAAATCTCATTTTCAAAACTTTGTCTTCTGCATGTTTGATGTAGTAGTTCTTTTTCAACATACCTTATTTTTACTTACCAAACTTGAGTTTTGTTTTTTTTCTGTTTGGTTTCTTTTTTTTTTGGTACTAGGGATAGAACTCAGGACCTTGCACTTGTGAGGCATGCGGCGGAACCACTGAGCTCAACCCCCGGCCCCTTTATTTTTTTTTTAATATGCAAGACTTTTTTTTTTTTAATGTATACCTTCACCAATAGATCTCTCCAGTTCTGGCTCCCTTGCCTTTCTCTAATTTGACCTGCATCTTTTTCACAGATTAATGCTAATGCAAATAATTCAGCACATTTTTTTCTTCACATTTTACTGTATTGTTGATACTCGTTTTGTAAAAATGTCTTGTTCATAAATTTTTTACAAAATATGTCTATCTGGGCCGGGGATTTAGCTCAGTGGTTCCGCCGCCTGACTCGGAAGTGGAAGGTCCCGAGTCCGAGTTTGATCCCCGGTAACAACAACAACAAAATTATGTCTATCTTTCTAATAGGCAGACTATCTTATACTTAAACAAGTAATCTATTACCAATTTATTTTATTTTTGTTAAAGACTCTTGCTGTGTAGTTCAGGCTGGTCTTGAACTCACTATATAGTCCAGGGTGGCCTCAAACTCACAACAATCCTCCTGCCTCAGCCTCCCAAGTGCTGGGATTACAGGTGTGCCCCGCTATGCCTAGCTTCCAACTGTTACATGATAGAATACTTTGAAGTTAAAAAGAATATTACTTAAATTACTGTTTATTTTAAAAAATTAGTTTTTATTATGTTTGAAAAGAAATATTACAAAGTATTCAGGCAGCACTTTTCTTTAAAAAAAGTAAATTTGGTCAGTTTTTATTTATTGAAGTTGTAAGTTAGCATTTCCTTTATTAACATTGAATTATGATTCCGTATTATATAATCCCTTTGTGCTAAAACACACTACATTATAGTAATGATGATACCATGTGAAGAAGAAGCCAATTATATCAGATTTTACAAAAAATTTCTCAATATTTCATTTAATTTTTTCTTTTTAAATTATCTTTTAGTTCATCATTCTCGTGGTCGACAGCATTGACAGGGAGCGACTAGCTATTACAAAAGAAGAATTATACAGAATGTTGGCTCATGAGGTAAATTTTTAAAGCAAATCTTTTAAAAGGGAATAGAATCAAATACCTATACTTTGGTTTTACTTTTTTTTTTTAACAAAAATTAATGTATAATGTTGATTATTGCATCATTAGTAAAATTTTGTGTATTAAAGGTTGTGACATCAAAAATGTCACTACTTTGTAAAACTTAAAAACTAACATTAATTTGTACACTACTACTGTTACTACTATGACTTCAAAACAGACTATTCATGCCTTCAAAAGTTCAATAAATTTAGATAAGAACAAGAAAAACTTAAGATTTTCCTTGTTTGTAATAACCAAAAGTTCCTTTTTTTAAAAAAGTTCCTTAATGAATAATTTGAGCTCACTTAATTCTACATATTAGAGATAAACAAAAAGTTAATAACATATATTCATTGGCCAGGAGAGGTACGGCCAGCGCCTGCCTGTACTCCTAGTTACTTTAGGAGGTTTGAAGCAATACCTTTCAATCTGATTTTTTAAACCTTTCTCTCAGAGGTAACCATTAAAAGTAGTGATTATTATTCCTGTATACGTTTTTGTATGTTACATTTTAATATAAATTGTACCAAATAATGGTATTCTCTGTTTTTAAAACCTTACGTAAAATTATTTGTCATTCTGTAACTTGTGCTTCTTTCCAAAACATTGAGATTTAGCATGTCAGTGCACGCGGCTGTAGTTCATCTCTTTTAATGATATAGTATTCCACACTTAATCAGTTCTTTTAATGACTATTTACATTATTTCTTATGTTTGCATAGCAAGAACAGTGCTGGTAAAGCCAGGTACATGCCTGGAATTCCAGATACTTAGGAGTCTAAGAGGATTGTGAAAACATAGCAAGACCCAATTACCAAAAACAAACAAACAAACAGTGCTGCAGTGCAGTGAACATTAATCAGTAAGCTTAAGTTATACAAAGACTGAAAATAAGTATTGCCCGCCTCCCACTCCAGTACTCTGTTTTAAACTTTGAAGAACTCCATAGTATTTGGCAACATACTACCATATTATACATTCGATTTTATGGTTCAGCGGCCAGTAGTCTGGCTCAGTGTGAAATTCTTGCCCAGCATCCACAGTGCCCTTAGTTTGATCCCCAGTGCCACATACAACAACAAAAAATTGGGGTTCATTTTTTATTTTCTTTTTAAGTTGACTAGCCCAAAAATAGAAAATTACTTTTAATTACCTGGCTTATGTTAAATCTGTCTTTGTTAGAGTGAATCATTAAGTTGTGCTTATTTGAGATTTTTATTTCAATACATTTTTAAAATTAAACATGAATGCCTGAGCACTTTAAAGTAGGGGCATTTAATTGGAACAGTGCAGCTGCTTACATTTTACCTCTTGCTTCATTCATTCCTTTAGTTTGACTTAGGAGATTTCACATAATACAGGTATTTTGTATTGATTGCAGGATTTAAGGAAGGCTGCGGTGCTTATCTTTGCAAACAAACAGGACATGAAAGGGTGTATGACTGCTGCTGAAATCTCCAAATACCTCACCCTTAGCTCAATTAAGGACCATCCATGGCACATTCAGCCCTGCTGTGCTCTAACAGGGGAAGGGTAAGTGTTAGTCCAGGGAAGTATGACTTCGAACATCTTTCTCCTTTTTGAGGCCAACTTGTTTTCTTCTTGTTTTTGTTCCTTTTATTGTTATTCTTAATTTAAAAATAGTTTTATATTGTCTCTCTTTAGAAGGTTGAAGTCATTTTAGTAAACAAAATTACTGACTATAACTTTGAATGTAAGCACAATGTATAACAAATAAGGCAATAATAAACTTTTTAAAAAAATTTTTATTTACTTATTTATTTTTGGTACCGGGGGATCGAACTCGGGTCCTTGCACTTGCACAGCAGGCAGCGAAACCACTGAGCAAAATCGCCGGCCCCTGATAATAAACTTTTGAAATAAGTTTCCACAATCCAAATGCTTTTGTTGCTCATCCCTTGCTTTAATCAATTATCTACTAGGAGAAAATGGTGTCACCTGAATTAAAGAAGATTTAAGAAATTTACATATTTTCTACAAAGATTTAAACCTACACTTCCAGCTTGTCACAGAGTACATCTCCTTTATGATCTGCAGTGCTCTGGGGAGGAGTACTTCCAGACAAGAAATGTTTGAGACAGATGCCATCATAGTGCTTTCTTCCTTTCCTAAGAGTTTGAAAGTGGGCACTAGGTGAAGGAAAAAACAACGCTATGAATGGATGACCCAGTTCATTCCTAGGAACTTATTTATCCTCATACCACCCTAACTTGTTAGTTTTTCTCCTGTTAGAAATGGCTTGTGATATAATAGCTACATGTATACCCTTTATCCATGCTTTTAAGTAAGACTTAAAACTAATAAGCCTGCTTTTCAGTTTTTAAGCAGAAAGTTTTTAATTTTGAAAATGCTTCTTTCTTTTGATCAGGTTATGCCAAGGTCTGGAGTGGATGACTTCCCGGATTGGTGTGAGATAACTTTTTGCTTGAAAGAGACTCTTCTATTTATTCTGTGACACGAACATTTTTCCTAGTATCTTTGGCTGCTAAGGCAGCAGCATGTTTAATTTATAACAACACAAACCTCTGTAAGCAACACTTGAATCAAGTGCAGCTGAACTGGAACATAAAAGTTTTTTTTCTTAACTTTTTTTTTTAAATGCACTAATCTTCGGTTGGATGAACATTATGTATGTTTCAACAACAGAACTCTTCTGACTGCTTATTCTAATTATTCAGTGACTGCCTTATAAAAAAATGTTTGTCATATGTTTAATGTTTTCATAAGTATTGTTATAACCTTTATACAGACCAACTTCTTTCAGTTCTTGACTCCTGCTCCCTCCCTCCCAGGTAGTTAACAGTTCGACAGAGGAGTAGTGAAAATCCCCTGATACTACGTGCGAACTTCTCCAGTACAAGGCATAATCCCTCCATAAACTATCTTTTGAACAAAATTTATTATAAAGAAAGAAATCTGCCTGGAAGGTATATATAAAAAGGAAGATTAAAATTAAACATCATAAATACTTGCCTTTTAACTTCCCTCACATTATTGCATGTCATGGCATAATTTTAAGTTGCTATTAATATGTAAATTAAGTATGTTTATCTGAAGGAATTAAGTTCACTTTTCTGCCTACCAGATTTGGTCAAAAACTAATCAAGATGAAATATTTGAGAACCCAGCTTTGATAGTAGATATTGTTGGCTAAATCTGGTATTTTTAAGAATGACACATTATTCAGTGCATATATAAGTATCAAGTTATTACAGTGTACTAGCACTAAAATTAAAATATACTATTTGCAAACCATTTTATTATCAGTAAAATTGCAGCTATTTTATTTGCAAGAGTTATCTTGCAAATAAATCCTTTTTTTATTTCTTAAAATTTGAAATGTGTGTCAGGATTTTTGCCACCACTGCACTATTAGTTTAAAAAAAAATGGCGCTTTTATTAAATCTTTTTGTGGGTGTTGTGTAATAGGCTTGAAACAATTGCCATCTTTATAATTGTACTTTGCATTCTAAAATCACACAGCAAACTGCTAAATCTAATTACTTTTTAGAATATTACTATGACACTGAAAGTTGACATTCTTAAGTTATAAATTTAAAAAATAAAATGGAGAAGTCATAATCTATCAAAAGCTTATTTATTGAATACTACTAAAAACTTTGAGGCAGTTGTCTAGTACGAAAAATATTCTAAGCAGTACATACCTTCACCCGAGTTCAATCCCTGGTACCAAAAAAAAAAAAAAGTAAAGCAGTACATACCTTAAATTAAGAGGGAAGATGGTATTGTAACTTCAGTCTTATTTATTTCAAGTGAAATTTTGCTGTAATGAAAGGGATAGAATGTATACCTAGTAATTCATTTTTGCAGTATTTTTTTCATCTGGATCAAAAAAAGCTTCAGTGTTCATAAGAATTTCAAACTTTCCGTTTAGAAGTGGTATTTTAATTTTAATATTTTATCTATAAATTGATTTTAATTTTGCCCTTTTCAGATGTGCTTGGTTAATTATATATAGATGAATTATTTAGTGGAACTTGGCAACAATTTTCTGATTTCCATTTAGTAGTAGCCCACCCTGGAATGAAAAGTGGCCAGAAGAAAGCGTTCTGGATTTTGGGAAATTGTTTACCTTTATTCTGAACGTTTTTCCTTGGTGACTTTATACTAAGTAGTGGGGTTTAGCTTTGTTTTTAGTGTAACCATAATCAAGAATGTGAGAGAAAAGCAGCTGTAACCTGTATGGGTTCTTTGTGGTGTACGTGTGTGCGATGGGGGTTGCGGGGAGAAGATACCATTTGCCTAAAGCACATTTTGCCTGAATTTCTACCTGGTTTTATTTTTTACCATAAATACTAAGGATGATTCTCATTAAGTCTGTTCTGAGAAAACATATAATACTCATATTTCCTTATGAAACAATTATCTGCCTTCTTGAATCTAATAAGAGTGGCTGCCTCAATTTTCTTCTATCAAATTATATGATTATTTTTTATATTACCACATCAGCATTATATTGAAAGTGTTTTTAATAGTCAATTGTATTTTGTCATACAGCTACTAAAAGAGACTCAAATGTCCTATCTGTTTTAAAATACAACCTATTTTCTGAATCTTTTTAAAAACAGTCTTTTACCTTGCGTTAGAAGTGATGTGTGTTAGTATTTAATGAGGACAAACTCGCCATTCAAGTAGACTTCGTGCCAATGATTGGGAAGTTCAAGTAAGACTTTTTAAAAGGTTTTCCTCAGATCTTTCCTGATACAGTAATATGAAAACATGATCCTTTACTCCAAGAGAATGTTTTGACCCAAGCAAGTATCTTAACACTAAAGCATTGATTTTGACATTCATTGCAAATCAGCCGACTTTGTAAGACAAATATCTTATGAAGATGTTGTGTGTTTAGTGCCTTTATTCACATTTTGAGATAAGTTCTCAATCTTGTGCTGTACATGTTCTTTTAGAGGCACAGTAGCAGCTAAGTAGTTTAAGAAGGGAATAATTTGAGTTTTACCTTCTCTTTCAGCTTCACATCGTACTTAGCAAAGTTTCTAATAAGTAGAAAGCAAGGAACCCACCACAATTCCCTGAGATTAGTCTGTATTTTATTTTTAGTTGGAGGATAAAGAAATTAAATTTTAAACAAAACATTTTTGACATGTTATGACTAAAATGTCTAACTACCATGCCACTTTCAAATAAGACATTTTTCTTAATTTTAAACATTTTTTGTTCCTCATCTTTAATCCAGTCATTCTTATTGAAAACATTTTGAGAATTCTTTTAGGATCAGTAGTCCCTTTTTTTAAGGGAATTTACTGAATATTTTTATTAGTATAATTTAATTCCTAAAAAGCTAAAATCTTTATAAATACAATCTGTTGAAAACTAAGGATTAAATAATTTTCCCTCTTTGATTCTTGTGTTAGTATACTTAAAGGTATAATTACTCCTATTATATTTTCTTTGGGGGAAAGATAATACAAGTTTCATTAATTAAAATAATTGTAAGTGGCAGTACCTGCATAACGATAGCTATTTTGATTAAGCATAATTTAATCTTATTATCAAAAGCATAAAGAGAAAACAATTGTATTCCAGTGGAAACGGTGAGCGACATAGACAGTGCTATAAACAGTAGTTTGAAGAGTTACAGAAATGTCAAAGCAAAGAAGATTTTGAACAAAACAGTAACTTTTTTTAAGTCTTTGATATAGTTACTTCGGTGAAATGTTAAATGGAATCGTTTCTGAATGGCACTCATTTAATCCTTAACTTTGTAAACCATACATTAGAAAAATGTACTGGTATTTTGCCTATAGATCAGTAAGTTTTGTTGACATTTTGTCTTTGAAGACCAGCTTTATGAGTGTAATTTTAAATCCGTGGCTTTGGAGCCAGTAAAACTTCACATTTAATTTCAGTTCTAAAAGATCATTTTCCATTTTGTCTAGGCAAAATCATTTCAATGTACACATGCTTTATTTTTGGTACCAGGGATTGACCTCGGGTCCTTGCGCTTGCAAGGCAGGCGGTGGAGCCACTGAGCTAAATCCCCGGCCCTTTACACATGCTATCTTGTATCTAGTGTGCTGGCTATCTGAAGAAATAGATTTACATCTTAACTTGCCCATTTGTCATTTTATTTAGTTGACCTAAGACAGTTATTGTCTGTGGCCTTTTTGTTTTTCTTATAGTGAGGAACTTCAGCAAATTAGAGCTCTTACATGTCTTTTAGGTTGAAAATTCTGAGTCTTTATTACTAACAATTTTTAAAGCCCCAAATAATAGGGAAATGTATGTAATATGGAATTAAACAATATTATTTAATTCCCACTCATTATCATTTCATTTAGTATATGAATACAATCAAGTAGGAAAATAAAGCGTCACTTAATAACTAGTATTCAACTAGTTATTAAGTAGTAGCTAATTGAACAAGTAGCTAATGACAATACAAGAGAGAAAAGCCATATTGTTAAGAAAACATAAAACTACTTATAAAGCATCAATGGATGTTGGAAATAATCTCTTCTAGAAAGTTTACCTTATTTTTCTGGTTTTACTAATTGGTTGGAAATGCTTAGGTCATTTTATTGCCTCTAGATGATACCCCAAGCTCCAGTTCTGTTTAACTTTCCATTATTGAAAGGGTAATGTGACGAGGCTATCAGTATTTAGCCAGGGTTTGCATATATTCTGGAACTGCTTTGTATTCAAGGTTAGCCTTTTCAGTACTATCTAATCCTTATTCAGTTAATATTATTATGAAGACTGAAACTCCAAGCCAAGTTCCCTCCCCAAAAAGAGTATTGTATGAAGGAGGCTTAAGCAAGAGGATCACAAGATAGAGGCCAGGCCGGAAAACATCTGCTGAGACCCTGTCTCAGAATAAGAAGAGCTGAGGGTGTAGCTCAGTGATACAGTGCTTGTCTAGCATGCATGAGGCCCTGCGTTCAGTTCTCAATACTGCCCCTCTCGAAAAAATTCTAGGTGGCCAGAGCTAAATAGAGAAGATGAATGTAAAAAAAATAGGTTGACTACTGTGTTGTAAATTTAAAGGAAAAAAATGTGGTGGGCTTAAAATTGGCTTTAAAATCTATATGATTTAGTGAAATGTTTGGAAAATGTTACTTTGGAGGTTTAGAGGCATACCTACAAACACACTCAGAACATTTAAAATTAAAAACTTGGTGTAGAAATATCTTCAGAAAGATACTACGAAAGAGAAAGTGAACAGAAAAATGAATCTCCCTCCTCCCGTTTAAGGCACTTAAAATTACTAGTCTTTTACTGCAGATGGTTTGTATTATTTTTACTGTGACAAAAAAAACTGAAGACTGATTAGGTTTTTAGAATTTGGAACTGTAGTCAAATATAGGCATCTTTTGGATTTCTTTAAAAATCAGTAATCTACATTTTATCCTGGAAGTGGAGAAGTAATGTGCTGTTCATAGCTTTTGGAATAGAAAATTAAGTTATCAAAGAATGGTAATATTCTAGCATTCAAACTTTTAAAGTTTTAATTAAAAATTTACCTCATACTTTAATCCACAAGGTGCTTTTGTTCAAGTTTGTGGGCTGTTGCACTGTCCCATAAATACCCTCTTTCATACAAACTGTGTGTCACATATGCAGATTTTACAACTAAGGGACAACATTCCTTGGGGATTTTGTTTTATTCTTTGTTAATCACCAGTGAGACTCACATGATTGGTCAGATTTACAGACGGTTTTCATTAAAGCACATGAACAAGTGCCCAGTCACTATTTAGTTCTATAAAATAAAGGAAAAGAAAAGAAATTAGGTTTGGTTAGAGTATGCTGTTGAATATATTTACTTCAGCATTGGTAAGATAGCAAATGACTATCCCTTGATCTCACTTGCATAAGAATTAGCTGCATGTTTTGGCCCTGTTCATAAGAGATTACAGTGAACCCTCAAGTTAGGACCAGCCTGACATATGAATGACTTGGGTTAATGGAAGGTACATCTGCCTCTGGTTATCTATAGCATGTACCCAGGGAAACATCCAGATCTCAGCTGTATTGACTAAGTTACCACCAGCCCTCGGGATTGAGTTTGTGAGTCAAGGGTCCACTGTATACTCTTTTTAACTTTACCTTTTCCTTCAGAAAATTCAGGAACTTTGAAGCCCCTAATTTATTCTCTTGGAGTAAACTTTCAGTGTAGTTGTGAAAACTTTTAATTTTGATTTTTAAAAAGTTTAGGAGCTGGGGATTTAGTTCAGTGGTTCTGGGGCCTGCCTCGCAAGCTCAAGGTCCTGAGTTCGATCCCCGGTACCAAAAAAAAAAAGTTTAGCTGCTATTTCATTGAAAATGCGAAATAAACGATGATTATGTTTTCAGTTATAGAAAAGTTATAAATTTTACATCTGTTCCGTGGAACATAGTTGTAAACAACAACAGCAACCCCACAAAACCTAAAAGCGGTCGCAGCCTTGCCCTTGCATTAATTCCAATCAGTGTAGTGACTGATCACGCCGTTGCCGTCTTAACATAAACCAGCGCTAAGAGCACACAGAGGAAGCAGCAGGCCCTGTGTTCAAAATACTTCTCGCCTCCGAAAGTAAAGCTACTTGAAAGTGTCTGTATTGAGATCTAAGCTCATTTCCTAAGATTGAAATACAAACTTTTATCTATCAGGCTTCAGGCTTTCTGCAGAAGCTCTAACAACATCTTAGCAAATCAGCTGGGTCAAAACTGTGGATGGGATCTCTCTGCCTTCTCCCCCTGGTATTGTACAGAGAGAAGAAAAATGTCTTTGTTGCCATGACTCCTTTTGAATCCTAGCCAACTGAAACGTGTGCGCTTGGTCCAATACATAAGCATTAACAAAGAAATTTTAAAAGCAAATTACTCAATGCATTCACATCACTCCTTGCAAATGGTTTAAAGCATGTTCTTCTAATGGTGGGCTCATTTAAAAGACATTTTTAAAATTTTAATACATTACTGTTGTGAGATGCTTTTCTATGTTATGTTTAGGTTGCTGGTACTCATGATTTTTTATTTCTGCAATTACGTTATAATGAGTTGCTTGCATGCCTACTTACCCAAGTGAAAGGAAGCTCTTTGCTCTGGAATGTTCATCTTTTAGACAGGATTTGGCTCATTTGCAATCGTGGTGCAATATAGTGTAACATTCATTGGTTTTCAGTCAACAGTTTTATTTTTGTCATAATAAATAATTACTTTTCCAATATGAAGTGAACCCAGTGTTTTCTTTTAAAGGTAAAATGTATTTTAGCAGTCTTTATTGCAAGTGACAGAAACTCCCATGTAAGCAATCAGACAGGGGAATTTTATTATAAGGGTGATATTTTAGGAGCCAGCTGGATTTCCAGAAGAGACAGAAGCAAAGACTTGGAGTACTGAGAAGAAACCAGAAGGTTAACCTTTCTCTTGCGCATGTCCCTCAGTGTTTCACTAGCCTGGATTTCTGTGTTTCCTAGTCCACATGGAAGATCATGTACAGGCCTAATAGCTCCTTTATTATCTTATACAGGGGAGAAGTCAGATTATTGTTACGTATAGTTCCTTCTGGCCCAGGAAAATTGTTCATTAGCTTAGTCAGTGGAGGCGAACCTGTGGCAGGTGTGCCACACTCGGCTGTTTGTTACCATTGAACGGTCTAGAAGGTTCGCCATCGCTGGCCTAGATTAAGTCGGTTACCCCTGAGATCTGAATCGGTCGGTGGCTTAGTGGAAAGAAGGTGCGTTTACCAGAGAAGGGGGCTGGCTGTATGATTCATCTACACACTGTTTGCACTTAAGCTATATTCTTATAATAAAAACAAATGTAATGAGTAGGATGACAAAATTCATTTTATTTATATTAATCTAAAAATAATGATTTTAATACTACCCTCTTTTCAGACCCTTGAGAATGTGATAAAGACAAAACAAGAATGTGATAAAAGATATCCTACATAAAAAATTACACTAGGTAGAGTTAAAATTTGTTTAAAAGGTTTAGAATTGTCTGAGCCTCAGGAGTTATACTGTGTTACAGAGCGCTCTGTGCTCTGAAGGTTCTTGATGCCCCTTTGTAACCCTTCCTCTGCTCCATTCCCACCCTTCAGAGCCGCTGATTTGCTTTCTGCCATTATAGGTTGCTTTCATAGAATTCTGTCTAATCACTCAGTTACAGATGTTTTCATCTTCTGTGTATCCCGAGTCCATCCCTTCCTTTTAGTGACTAGTACTCCATTGCAGAGATACATCATAATTTGTTTATCTTTCCACCTGTTGGTGGGCATTTCAGTCGCTCCTAATTTTGAAATACAAGTGAAGCTTCCCGCACATTCATGCATTGGTCTTTTTATAACATTTGCTTTCATTTCTCTCAGGTAAATCCAGAGTCCCTAGGAGTGGAATGGCTAGGGAAGAGTGGTCAATGGACATTGAACTTCAAGGGCAATGCACACTTGTAAAGTACCATTTTACGTCCCCCTATTAGTGTATAAAATTCTGGTTCCAGATTCTTGCCATCAATTGACCTGGTCACTCTTTGGTTTTAGGGGTTCTGATAGATGCCTCCTTGTGGGTTTAATTTGAATTCCTCTAAGGATAAAAGACAGCATCTTTTCATGCACTTCTTGCCTTGTACCATCATGAAGTGTACACATACTTTGCTTATTTATTTAGTGGTACTGGGACTTGAACCCAGGGCCTCACACATAGCAGACAAGTGCCCTACCACTGAGGTGGGGAGCCCTTGCTTAGTTTTAAATTTTTTTTTAAATGAGTTTCGAGAATTGTTTATTCTTAATTCAAGTGATGTATTGGTAGGCAACTTGCAGCTGGGCCAGTCTGCTTTTCTTTTTTGTTCTTAATAATATCTCTTTAAAGCCTTGACGTTTTAAAGCTGCCCCCTAGTAACAAGACCAAATACATGACACATGTAATTTATGTGTAGGTTTTAAAATACTCATGTTTTCTGATCGCTAACATAAGCTTGCTTAGAATTCCTGTGCTTCATAGGGATGATTTTTGTTTTGTTTTATTTTCTGATCAGAGGATCCTGGTGTCAAAATGTAATTTTAGCAAGTTCAAAATGAACGGGGGGGGGGGGCATAGCTCAGTGGTAGAGTGCCTGCCCCAGGCCCTGGGTTTAAGCCCCAGTACCACACAGAAAAGAAAGAATGAAACAACCCTCGTGTTTAAGTATATAGTGGGTACTTAGCAAAGATTTATTTAACTCAATAATCAGGGAACTCATAGGTTGAAAAGCTGATTCAAAAGAGTACACATCTGAAAAGTTTACAAGCTTACCAAGCCTCCACATTAACATTGACTTTATAGAGTCTGGGCCCTAATGGATAGTAAATACTCAAGCAGAATTACACATTTCCCCCTAGACAGACAGATGGTCTCTAAGTGAACTTCGCAGTACCCTGTTATGACTGAAAGCATATAGTTATCTCTGCTATATTTGCATGGTTGGGATGTATTTTTTAAAACAGGAAAAACATTTTGTCATTGTATTAAAACACTGGCTCCTCAAAATACAAGATACAAAATGGGTTTCAGGAAAGGGAAAGCACCAGCCAAGAGACACTTTTCGGGGAGGGGGGGGGCGGCTACCAGGGATCGAACTTGGGTCCTTGCGCTTGCACAACAGGCGGCGAAACCACTGAGCTAAATCCCCAGCCCAATAGACACATTTTTGGTGCCCATGAAATTCAATGTAATTACTATCTGTGTTAAACAGGCTGACTGGCCATTTAAAACCCAGCGTGGGGCTGGGGATGTAGCTCAGTGGCCCCGTGCCTGCCTGGCAAGCACAAAGTCCTAAATTCCATCCCTAGTACTGAGGGGGAAAAACAGCATGGTGTAGAACAGGCTGATCTTGCCAGAGCTGCCGGGAAGCCAGAGTATAGAACCAACTCTGGCAGTGGTCTGCTTGCTACTTAGTAGACACTTGCCCAAAATGACAGTTCATTCAGAAAGCGGGGCCACGTGCCAGCATGAAAGATCCGTTTTCATTTATCTGTTACCTTATATATGATAAAAGGCCTTGAGCGCTTGTTTGGAGGTTCTAGCAGGGAAGCGCAGCGAGGAAATGGTCCTCCTCTATCGGGGGTGGTCGTCCTCGAGCGCGAGCGCGAGCGCGAGCGCGCAGCCTCAGGAGGCACGCACGTGGAGTGGTGCAGGAGGAAGCGGACACCCGCCTAGCCAGCCAGATTAGAAACGGATCTGGACATTGAAGGAGATTATTCTGGATTCTTCACTTTCTAACCAGTGTGATACTTTGCTCTTTTGTGGATTTTATATCATGAAGTGTGCGGTTTAACAAAGTGAACACATGTACCCACCCCTGATATGCAGTATTCCTCCTGAGAGATGGGCTGTTTCTTGTTTATAGCTGCCACCCTCACTCAAGAGTACTTGAGACCATGTTCCACATCCAGGGGCTCCCCAGATGCATTTTGGTTGTTACTAATCTCCCCAACCCACAGAACACACTAGTTATGCACGTTATTGTGATGAGAAATTTGAGGGAGAGAAAAGAGGCATTGATCTCCGATTAATCTGTTACTTCCTGAAGCCTGTGGCATTGAGTAAAACTAAAATAAAATATATTCACCAATATTGAGTCCCATTTTTGTTCAAGTTCTGAGGGCAGTGATTAAAAAAAAAACACACCTTTTCCTCATTGAGTTTACAGTCTAGTTGGGGAGGTAAATTAAGTCAATGTAAAATCATGACTAACAGAAGACAAAGATATGTATTTGTCAGAGGTAAGTTAGTCCAGCATCATTTCAACAACCATGACTTTTCAATAAAAGACATACTAAGCACATAAATAATTACATTCCCAAGTTAGACAAAGTTTCAGGAGGGAGCAACAGGAGGAATACAGAAAAAAAAAATCTGGAAAAGTTCAACTCCTTTTGATGAGCAATCAGATGTCTCCTCTAAAATTTATGTGTTGAAGTCCTAACCCTTAGTACCTCAGACTATAGCCTTATTTGAGGATTTTTTTTTTTTTTTTTAATGTGTATGTGTGTGTGGTTGGTTGGTTTTGTTTTTCGGAATGCTGGGATCACGGGCTTGTACGACATGCCTGGCTTGGAAACTCTACAGAAGTAATCAAGTTGAAATGAGGTCATTAGGGTAGTCCCCAGTCCCATGGCTGGTGTCCTCAAGGGAGGGGAAACCTGGACCCTGATACACTAAGGGCAGATCTTGTGAAGATAGCACTTAGCAAGCCAAGGGAAGGAGGCCAGATTGGGTTCTCCACAGCCTCAGAAAGTACCAACCCTGCTGACACGTCAATTGTGAACTTGTATCCTCCAGAACTGTGAGACAGTAGGCTTCTCCGGTTCCAGCTGCCCAGGTCCTGGCACTTTGTGTCAGCAGCTGAAGCAAACTAATACAGATTTCCTCATGATTTTCAGCTTAACCTCTTTTTCACAGACTTTGAGTCACTTTTCATCAATTAGCTATCTTTGAGAAAAGTAAGTCTCTGACCAAAATGACCTGTTCAGAATTTCTCCAGATGCTATGGGATGTTCAGATGTGATGACTTTTCCTAGTCATTCTTAACTTTCACCAGTCAATCTTTAAGAAATGTGTTTCTGTGGCTGGTGTTGGTATCTTTGATTGAAAATGATAGAAACTCAAACATTCATAAGAAAAAAGGGCAGCTTTGGTTCTCATAAACACACCTCAGGAAAGTCAATCACATACCTGGTTTTATGAACATCAGATTCAGGGATGTGAACACCAAGAGGATCTTCAACTTCTCACCTCTGCCACTGGCCATCGCTCCTTTATCCTCCTCCACCAATGGCAGGATTTTGTGCTTCCTATAGTGGAAATCCAAGTTTCCAGCAACCCTCAGTTCATAGCCTAACAGCTTTGGGATCAGAGAGGAAAGGAGGTCCTGGAGACCTCTGCAGTAGGTTCCAGTCTCCTGCTCAGTGTACGACAAAGGGCTGAAGAAAGGCTCAAAGACAAAGAAAAAGGTAGGAAGCCAGGACAGCCAGTGCTGAGCAACCAGCAAAGGCCCTGATCTGTCCAAGCCACTGATGTTTATTGGTAATCAAACTGGGGTAAAGGAAAAAAATTGGAGTAAAGGGGAACTACATGTGAAGATGTGCAGTTGTGCAGTTGCTATGGATACTAATGCAGGTGAGGCTTGTAAAGGAAAAGACAAAGCATCTGGAATTAGGAGCAGAACAGACAAAACATAGGG